GTCTCTGTATTTGCATTCTATAGGTCAATTCTAATAGGCTCCTTTAAACATAATCAAATAAAACAAGTTGTTAAACACCAAGTGCAATGCTTCAGAAACGAGCCTAATGGAGAAAGAGAAAAGACATGAGCAAGCGTAAAGCAGAGGAACACACAAGTGGTCTAGAATATTTAAGAAGCAACAGAATGTTTGATTATGGTAGAAAGCAGAACCCAGAATAATGAATATGCAACCAACCATTCATACAGACACTAGCTGAACTGTCAGCTATCTCACTGCATTACAAGACCACAACTGGATCTTAGGCTTCTTGTTTGATAGGACTCAAGAGACTGCAGAGAAAAATGAAGAAAGTGGGATTAGGAAAGGCCAAGGAATGAGGGCCTCTAGAGCAGGGCAAAAGAGGAGTGAAAAAGGAAGACAGTGGGATAAGAACAAAGCATTGATGAATTTTCATCAGCATATGACAGAAGCACAGATATAGAGGAGCCATGATAGTTAGAGGGGTTAAGTATGCTTTTTTATCTCCCACATTTCTATTTGTGGATAAATCTATGTGGATACCTCTCAACTTCCTAAAATGCAAATGTGTGATAATGGTCTCAATTTATAACAGATACAAAAACAAACAACAAAAATAGCAGTGTTCTACTTATGATACATTTCTATAAGTTCTGTTTCAAGATTTGCAAGATTTCAGATCTTTACAAGGACAAATAGGAACATAATATAAATTTTGTGGAAAGGATGAATATTTGGTTTAAACTGAATGCTATACCTCTATATTTGAGAGGCAAGGTATGATGGGTGGGGCTCACCTCTTATGAACATCCTAGCAGCTGGGTGCAGTACCATAGTCCTCTTCCTAGTCTTAGTGTAACCTGTAGGTTTGTCAGCCTTGCTTGGTGGGTCTTCAGTGGCACAGTCTCTTCTAGGGTAACAAAAGTGCTACCAAAACTATGTCTGTCCTCATCTGGGTCTTCAGTCCCAGCTTTGGGCACTTTAATCTCAGTTCTTTGCTCAGGCCTCCAAACATGCCTTGTTTCCTTCTTGAGGTTCACATCACTTGGCCAGTGGGGGAACCTGGGCCCACCCACTACTCCAAGTTCCAACCCAGGAACCCTATAAACAGCAGCCATATACTGCTCACTTCAATTCATTGCTGCTACTACCTTGGACCTCCTCCTACCTGGCCTCTTTATCTTCACCGCTTACATTTGGGGTGCAGTTCTCAGGTCCTCTGGCCCCAGCCAAGAACTGACCTGCTAAAGCCCTACAATTATTTTTATCTGAGCCTGCTGGGCTCCAATTGGCTGCTTCTGTGCAACCTCTCTAGGCAAGCCAGGAAGATCTACCTTTGTCACTCCTTTCCTGCAGCAGGGTGTAGAAGAACTGTTGGACCTCCTGTATGGAGCCATGAAGGCCAGGTATACCCAATTACATACCTCCCCCCACAGAAAGAATTTGGGGTGGTGGTCCTGTCTGAAGGCAGTGTTCTCTCCTATGCAGTCTTTGCCCTTCTTCCTCAAGGTATTCTCTCCCAGGCCCCTCTCTATGGAGAGCTGTTATTAGTCCCTGCCCTGGTTGGTAGAGTCAGGACCGGCTCCAGGGTTTTTGCCGCCCCAAGTGGGTGGCGGGGTGGGGGTGGGGGGAAAGAAAGCCACGATCGCAATTGCGATCGGCGGCAGCTCCACTGCGCCGCTTTCTTCTTCGGTGGGAATTCGGCAACAGGTGCTTCCCTCTGAGAGGGACCCACCGACAAATTGCAGCCGAACAGCCCGACATGCGGCCCCTTCTCCCTGCTTGCTGGGCTGGTGCCTGGAGCCGGCCCTAGGTAGAGTCTTCTGTCTCAGGCTTCTGTCTGGAGAGCTTTTGTGGTCCTTGCCTTGATTAATCAGGTGGCCTGCTTGGTCAAGGTCTTCTCTCAGGCATCTCTGCCTGAAGAGCTTCTGCAACTCAGGCTCCTTTTCCTCCAGAGCCTTCCATCTAGCTTCTTTCATAGCATCAAGTTCTCTACTATACGTCTCTGGCAAGGAGAGAAGGCTTCTCACATTCTCTCCTCTCAAGGCTGAGCTGTTTTCAGAAGCCTTGGTCTCATCTCCTCAGAAAGACATCCAACAACTCAGGTTTACTTAGGACTGCCAGTAGAGTCTGCCTCATGGCACCAGGTTGCCCTTGTGGACTGTTTGCTGTCACCTCATAGCCCCCATGGGGCATGTCTGTGTACACTGACACCTCAGCAAGATGTGCATCAGTGATCATAGTTGTTTCATTCCACACTCCTTCATCCTCCACTGGATAGGTTTGCCGACCAGTTGTATACATTGTTTCCAGGTCCAGTTCTGATGAACCTAGCTCAGAGGCATTTGTGCCATCAGACACCTTCTTCTTATCTTGCCTATTCTTGGGGCTCCTGCATCTCTTCCTGCAGCAAGTCCATCTTCAAAAGGGCAAAACCTTTTTTATGTGCCCATCTCTCCAACCCAAAGACAATTAAGTCTTGTCCACCTCCCTGCCACTAGCAGAGTTTGTGGTTCTTCCCACAGCTCACCCCAACAACTCAGTCTTTTCCCACCCCAGTTCACTCAATGGCAAGCAGCATCCACAACCATAACATCTCCTCAGACAGGTCTCAGGCCCACTGGATCACTCTTGTCTACCCAGTGCTTGAAGACATTGCTGTTTCTTTCCTGCAGGATCTATAACAGGTACTGCTGCTGCTCCTCTAGCCTGTCTAGTTGTTGTGGCAGTTCAAATCACACCTTCCGCTACTCTCGGTGAGCCTCACTGAACTGCTGATACACTTCACACATTTCCCCTCAGCCTTCACTTTTCTTGGCCCCAAACCATGTTTTATCAGTCTATTTAGCAGCCACCACAGCCTCTGGCATCTGAGGGAAGGCATCGTTTGTGACTTTGACCTTCCCTGGCATCTCAGTACTCTGTACCTGCCAATAATCCATCTTGTCTGTGTTACTCCAGGGGCAAACTGAACTTGCATTCCCTTCAAGCACACAGTAGATGCATCTACTTAGTGGGCCATCTGCCTTCTTTCCTTTTGGCACCTGCGACACCCAGGTTTATTTGGATGACGTCATGGCTTCCAAGCTCCCTTTCAAGCTTCAGATGGGATATCAGACCTCATGCACTAGAGACAGGAGTAAGCATCACTGCGCTGACATCGCTCCTTGACGGGAAGGGAGTCTTGTAACCCCACCTGTGATACCAAGTTGTGATGGAGGGGGAAAACTCAGCTCGAGTGCCTGCTAGCAGCTGGGTATGCTACCGCAGTCCTTTCCCACTCCTGGCATCCCCTGTAGGTTGTCAACTCTGCTTGGTTGATCTTCAGTGGCTCAGCCCTCTGCCCAGTCATACAATCAAAACGAACTCCTTCCAGGGTAACAGAAGTCCAACCAAAACTGTCTATCTGCCCTCACCAGGATCTTCAGTCCCAGCCCTGGGCCCTTTAATTCAGCCCTTTGCTTGGCCTCCAAACAAGCCTTGTCCCATTCTTGGGGTTTGCACCACTTTGCCAGTGGAGGAATCCCAGCTCCCCCACTCCTGGTTTCAACTCAGGAACACTATAAATATCTGCCATGTACTGCTCACTTTGATTAATTGCTGCTACTTCCCTGGGCCTCTTTCTACCTGGCCCCTTTATCTTTGCCCCTTACTTAGGGTTAAGTTCTCAGATCCTCTCTCCCCGAGCTTGAGCAAATGAAGCCAGAACCAAGCTCTACTTGTCCCTTGAGCTCCTTTGGCCAGAGAGAAGGGAGCACCCTTCTTTGCCCCTCTGGTCCCAGCCAAAAACTAATCTGCTAAGGCAATACAGCTTCTTTTATTTGAGCCTCCTGGTCTGATTGGCTGCTTCTGTGGAGCCTCTTTAGGCAGGCCTGGAGGACCCACCTTTGCTGCCCCTTTCCTGGGGTGGGGTGTTGGCAGACACAGGGCCTCCTGTAAGAAGCCACAAAGGCCAGCTGTAGCCTGTCATACATACCTATATGCATTAAAAAACAAAACAAAAAAAACCTACTACTGAACTAGCTTCTGTTGGTTAGAAAATTTACATTTGATCTGGTTACTCTTTCTTGCTTTTCTAAGTCACTAGTAATATACATTGATCTGCCTGCCAAAGCAAAAATATACCTCTACCCCGCTATAACGCGACCTGATATAACACGGGTTCGCATATAGCGCGGTAGCAGCGGGGCTCCGGCGGCGCTTTAAAGGGTCCGGGGCTCCGGCTGCTGCAGGGAGCCCCAGGCCCTTTAAATCACTGCTGGAGCCCTGCTGCCTCTACCCCAGGGCTGTAGCAGCGGGGCCCCACTGGCGATTTAAAGGGTCTGGGGCTCCCTGCAGTGGCTGGAGCCCTTTAAATCACCGCCGGAGCCTTGCCGCCCCTACCCCGATATAACAGTGTTTCAGCTATAGCGTGGTAGGGATTTTTGGCTCCCCACGACCACATTATAGCAGGGTAGAGGTGTACAAGAATTCTGTATTAGTGCATTATATCTAATGAGATAAGATGGATTTCATTAACATAAACAACATTTTCAATCACTTGTTTCAAACCTTATGTATTTCAGATATAAATAATTGAAGGAATATTTTCAGATTAAGTTTGTACGGAAAACAGGTAAATATGGCTCTAGAATGTGAACATTTCCTATAACAAAGAGTATTTGAGAAATATAGTGATAGCAGCTCTACTTTGATGGAGTGAAAAATTTTTTTCCCCCCATGATCTTTTGTTGAAAGTGGTTTCAAAATATCATTGACTCATGAAGATTTAAAGAAAAAAAAAAAAAACCGAACAAAACAAAAACACACACATTGAAAATAATCCTTTATGCCACTGAAAGGAAGTTTTAAAAGCATCATTTTCATTTACTCTTCAGCTCCTTCTTCCAACAGAATGTTACTTTTTTGGCAAGATTTTGTCTGACTAAACATACCTCGTGCACGTGGGGCACCTAAGGAAGTCACTGAAAATACTGTACCTGTTTAGCAAAAAATAGTGTGTCTAGTCTGGAATCCTGAACAACAGAGCCTGCTGGCTCTTCTCCTGGCTGCCACTTGAAGAGGAAGATCAGCCCATGAACCGGTCTATAAAATAAAATGTCAAAGCAGAAAAAGTGTGATGAAGAACTATGCAAACTATTTTTAATCTAAGTGTATCATCATCTGATAAGGCAACTCAGTTAATTCTTCCTTTCTAAATATTGTCAGTTAGGCTCAGACTCCCAGATGTAACCTCTAACTTTGAATGATTAAAAATTTTCAGAGATGCCACCCACAATTCCAGGTGGAGTTAGTACTCAACTAGCACTGTTGAAAAGTCAAAATTTGACTCGCTGATCACTTGGTAAACTGTGCTTTAAGTGCCAGTTTGCTTCAGCTCTAATACACATTTAGAAGTTAAAGAAATCCAGTACATATTAACCTTAGACCCTGTTCCTCCCCACACCATCACCACCCACACAGGAACTATATATTTCCCTGCATGATGCATCTGGCGATTTCATCAGTAATGCTATTAGTAACACTTTCTTTGGAAACTAATATCAGATTCATTATCCAAGCATTGATAAGCACTGAAACTATAAATTTGGTAATCCTGCTGGGTTCAAAAGGAAAAATCCATAAAGCTAAGCTCCCGTGAAGATTTCATGAGTTCTCAATCTGTAAAATGAAGGCAATTCTTTCTCTCTCTCCATCATTTGTTTTTCTGGTCTATTTAGGTTTTATGTCTTTCACAAGATGGACTGTCTCTTACAATGTTTATAAATTATCCAGCACAATGGGACACTGATCTCAGTTGCGGCCTCTAGGTATTACCATAACAGTGATAAATAACGTTTGTAGAGGGAACAAGTCCTTCTAAAAATGTTTTAGGAAATCTTTTTAAAATGCATTAGCACAAAATTTTCCCCCATCATAGTAATCTGAATTTAGGGTCAGCTATAAAACAAAGGCCACAACAACAACTATAGAGTCAACAATGTGCCCTTGTTGCCAAGAAGGCTAACTGCATATTGGGATGCATTAGCAGGAACATTGCCTGCAGATCGAAGGAAGTGATTATTCCCCTCTATTTGGCACTGGTGAGGCCATATCTGGAGCATTGCATTGTTTTTGGCCTCCCACTACAGAAAGGATATGGACAAACTGGAGAGAATCCAGCGGAGGGCAACGAAAATGATTACGGTGCTCGGACACATGACTTACGAGGACAGGCTGAGGGAACTGGACTTATTTAGTCTGCAGAAGAGAAGAGTGAGAGGGGATTTTATAGCAGCCTTCAACTATATGAAGGAGGGTTCCAAAGAGGATGGAGCTAGGCTGTTCAGTGGTGGGAGATGACAGAACAAGAAGCAATGGTCTCAAGTTGCAGTGAGGGAGGTCTAGGTTGAATAGTAGGAAAAACTATTTCACTAGGAGGGTGGTGAAGCACTGGAATGGGTTACGTAGGGAGGTGGTGGAATCTTCATCCTTAGAGGTTTTTAAGGCTTGGCTTGACAAAGCCCTGGCTTGGATGATGTAGTTGGGGTTGGTCCTGCTTTGAGCAAGAGGCTGGACTAGATGACCTCCAGAGGTCTCTTTCAACCCTAATCTTCTATGAAATGAAACACAGTCAAGAGTGCATGTTCATATGCATTGGCGTCATATTCACTACTTCAGACATAAGAGAAGATGCTTTTTAAGAGTTTTGACAGAATTTTTTCCTAGTGCTTTTAAAATGTGATAACCAAGAGGTTTTAAAAATGCCTATTGTAGACAGGGCAAGTTATGTTTGAGGGCCTCTAGTTCAAATACATTGCTAACCTAAGAAGCTTTAGTCAGATAGCTGTTGAGACCGTACATTCTGTACTTCTTGTCCTATTTTCTAGAAGATTATAGAGTAGAATATTTGCACAGGAGTGAAGTAGAAGATTAGGTGATACTTTTCTTTTAAGGTACTATACATGAACAAATACAATGCTCTTGATCAGATATGCAGAATGACAACAAAATTAGTGTTGACAGGAGAGAGATTAACAAGAAAGAGGCTGTAGTTGTGCACAAGTGCAATAAATTAATTTAAGGTGGTAGATACTTTAAATATCACTGCAAAAACCCAAGGAATAGAGCAATTTACTGTGTGTTCCTATTGGGCAAGTCAGTCAATAGCAATGCTGATTAATTCCTAGTCCTATGCTCTAGCCATTGGTCTAGGTCACTTCCCATAAAGAGGGAAGCTAGTTTAAACAACAAAAAGCACATCTGAAAGTTCACTAACTTGAATGTATTGTATAACGAGGGCTTAAAATCCTGGCAAATTGCTATAGAAACCAAAAGCAATACAGTATATCGGACAAGTTGCAATACAATGCATCTTCAGTGATTTTACAAAGAACTTAGACTAAGCAAATCTTATCTAAGGAGACTGCTTTTGTAGATCCAATAGCTTACTTTAATTTTTCAAAGTTCTCTGGCTCCAGACTCCATATTTCTTCAACTTGTGCTCCCCTGCAACCTGGAAAAGCAAAGATATAGTTTTAACTATCCTACCTTGGAGAGGGGAAATAAAACAACAACAAAAACCAAAAAACACACCACACACTTAAAGAAACTTACTTATAACTAAGCCCAGACTTAAGAAGAAAAAAAGCCTATGACTGATATGGATGAAAGATTAGAGAGAAAAAATTGTTTAGTTCAGTTTGCGTAATTTTATAAAGAGAAACCACTGTTGACTGAATAAAAAAGTCAAATATTTTAATGGAGAACCACAAGAATCTCATAATGCCACTAATCTTCACTTTGTGACTGACAGCAATTTTAAGACACTGTATGTAGGTAAAAGCATGTAAAACACTACATAAACATTAATTTGAATTAATATTCATTCAGATTTAACTACAGACGCTCCCCGAGTTACGTAAACCTGACGTATGAAAATCTGAGTTTATGGAAAAAGTTCCGTAAGCTAGAAATAGGAGGGTTTGGGGCGGGTGGGGGGTGGAGGGAGGATTGGTCAGAGATACGTTGCTGAATGCCTTGCTTAACTCAAATTTTGTGCAAGTCGGGGAGTGTCTGTACTACACAAATAAATAGTTTTTGTAAATATCAGGCCAGTACTCGTGAAAGGGAGCAAGCTAGGCAATCCTGGAGACTAAAGTCCTCAATTTGCCCATAAACCAAGTATCAGTACAAGCTTCCTGCACAGCTTGCCAATATGCCTCAGCTTTGACCTGGTAGGACCATCTCTAGGAATGAGGATGGTTCAGGCTTCATAGTTCATTTTCAGTTTTTCACTTCACTGCGCCAATTAAGAGGTAGCCTTTTAACCAGGCCTTTTAAGAGAGAAGCAATCTTTTTTTCATAACATAGTACAACATTCAACGAATCAAGACCAGTCCTCAGATGTATCTCAGTCTTTTGTTTCAATCCTCAGGCTTCCAATGAAGCTTTGGGTTCCTCTCTCAAAAAAAAAAAAAAAATCCTCCAAGAATTGACAGAATGTTTATTGATGGATGTTTGTAGCATCTGAGGATCTAAGCCTATTTCAGTGGGAGTCTGGAAGAGTGAATAAGGAACAGGTTCCATAGAAGACAAATTGTCAAATTATCCCTAGGGGAGGAGGTTGCAGATGCACAGTTTGATAATGCTCTTGCTCTACATATCAGACACACAGCCAGTACAATTCACGCAACTGAATGGCTTTCAAATTTGATCATTTAAACTGATCAAATTTGACACTGACACAAATGTAAAAATAAAAACACTTTTTATCCCATTACCAGTCCTTTGCATCATCCAATTGTCAAATTATATTAATTCCTTCCTCATTACCTACAGAAGAAATTAAGTTAGCCATCACATGAGTTTATTGAATCAGACTATGTAAAACAGAGTTTGAGAAGTTTTCCAGAGATGTACAAGCTGGAAAATTAGATCTACTAGCCAGATGTAGATACAAAGGATGGGAGTGGGGCAGGCTTTGCTGGTGAAGTACAGGGGCAAATCCTTGGTGAGAAATTCAGCCCATCCTGCAATCAACACCTGCTGGGAAGTATGCTGACATTTCTTTCAAGAAGGTGTCTGAGCATCTTGGAAGGGGGAACTTCATATCAGCTTCTGGCTAGTTCATGTGATAAAGCTTAGCTCCACATCCCTCTAGAATTCTTCCTCTTTCTGGAAGATACAGCCTCCTAAAGAGTAGGATCAAATCTCCGCTATTTTACCCCTCTTAGGCTTTCTGGACTGCAGGAAAGTCTCCGCTATTCTACCATGCTCCCACCTCGCCCGCCTCCCTCCAAAATTGTGAATAATTACAGTGCCTGCCCCTTAGCTTTCATAAACAGCAGCAGCATCAAATTAATATGATTTGACAAATTCAGTGCTGCCCAAATGATTCTCAACAGCAATAGTTTTACTGCCCAGAAACTTGTTAAACTCATTTGGGTTGTGCTGCTTCACAAAGCTGCAAGTAAAAGTAGACACACTGGACCTGTGTCTGAAGACTCCAGAATAGGAACACTACAACAGTTTACAATTCACATTTCATCTTCACAGCCATGAAGGATGGAAACTTTTTATTTAAAAAAAGAAAAAAATTATGGCTTGCAAAAATGGATGGCTTAAGTGCCCACGCCAATGTCACTACTAAGGCATTTTTGCAAGCCCTGGTGTAAAAAAAGTCAGACTTATTCATGGGTCAGATAAGTGAGGGGAAAAAAGATGGAGCAGGTAAGAAACATGCTTGGAACTATAAATCAAGATAGTCTAGTAAAGGACTCTAATCTACTATGTGGAACTGGATACGCAATTTAGCTTCTTTGGGCCAAATTCTATGTTGATTTACAATCCATAAAATCCCAATAGTTCCAATTGCATTGTATTTGGTGTAAATCAAGACAGAACTTGGTCCTCTGTAAATCAGTATCCAAATTTGTAAAATTAAGATATTATTTACCTACTTCACACAAGTTTTCTGAGTACTAGTTACCATTTATAAAGTGCTTGGAAAATGCAAGTGTGCTATGTAAGTATTACATCTTAAATGCAACATGTTGTACATACTGAGATAGAAGAAATCTCTCACAGATCAGCAGGCACATGCTCATGCAAACCTCTGTACAACTGTATTCATTCAGGATTTTTTTTTAAGTTACTCTCAAAGTGCTAATATGTACACCCTGGGCAGGGGGTCACTACAGTTACTGAATATGAGTGCAAGAAACAGCATCAGTTCAGTGCTTGAGGGCCGAAGCCTCCTCATAACAACCATGTAGTCCCATTTTCAAGCACAAATGGGACCCGACTGGGTTTCGGGGGAGCTGAACCGTGCTGCAGGCTGGGATGGGTCGAGGCAGGCTGAAGCGTAGGAACGGAAGAGCGGGCTGTGGCTTCCCCTGCGAAGAGCTAGCCCTGCAGAAGCTGAGCAGGTGCTGGGCACTGCGCCCTCCCAGCGGAGGGGGATGTCTGGCTCGCGGGGATTTGGGCATCTGTGTCTGATCCCACTAGAGCAAAACTGCCGTCTCAGCCCGTCTCATCTGCTGGAGGAAGGGGGTGTCGCACCCCAGCAACGCCGCTGAAGAAACTAGGGACGAAGTTCAGGAAGGTCCCGAAGCGACGAGCCACCCCCCTCCCGCAAGAGGCGGAGGGACAGTTGCAGGCCTCAAAAGTACCCGCCCGCCACCCGCCCAGACGCCGGTCCCAGCCCCCTGCCCGGGTCCCGCTCGGCCCCTCACCAAAGCCCTTGATGAGCTCAGTGAAGACGCCCGGGTCGCTCTCCATCAGGCACCACTCCCCGGCGCTGCCTCCTCCCGACATGGTGGCGGTTCACAGGCTCTCAAGGAGCAGCCGCTGCCACCAGCCGCCGGCTGAGGCTCTCTGCACGCCCCCACGCACGCCGCCGCTTCCTTCCCAGCAGGCTCCGCGGCCCACGCTGTCATCTCTATGGTGAAGTGGGGGCGGGCTCGGCCCGGACGGAAAAGGAGAAGAGAAATCACATCCGGGATACTAATAGCAGTCACGGAAGAGGCCTCAGCCTCTCGGCTGAGGGGGATCCGGGTTCTCCGCCGCAGTGCCTGACGGGAGCGCGCCATCCGGGTGCTTGGAGAGTGGACTAATGGGAGGAGCGACGGAGAACTTTATCCGGGTCCTAATGTTCCTCCCTGGCTCGCCGCTATCAGGGCTGCTGAAGCGGGGAACTACATCCGCGGTCGCTGGCCCCTGGGGTAGGATAGGCGGGGCGGTTCCATCCGGGGCCTCGGAGCCTGGTCACTGTGGGAAGGGAAGGGAAGGAAGAGCGGCTCCATCCGGGTCTTAGCGATGCTGTCCTGACAGGAATCCTACCAGGGAGGGGCTGAGTTCGAGGGAAATCAGCTGCCTGAGGAGAAACAGAGCCGGCCGCAGACAGATTGCGGAACCTGCTGCGCCCAGGCCCGCGGCTCACGCGCGCAGGTAGGGCCAGGCCCCGCTTGAACAACAACAGCCGCCGTCTCCGCCGAGCGTCCCGTGCTGCGCCACTGCTCCGCGCCGCAGGCAGGGCCTCAATTGGGGAGGGCCGCTGGGCAGCTGCCTAGCCGTACATCTTTCACACTCGCTTAAGGTTTGCCCCTCCCGGCGGCCTTGCTTCAGCAGGAGGCACCGAGAGCCGCTCGTCTGCTTAAGGCTGCGTGTGGAGCCTTTCTGCGGGCGGAGGCCTCTTCTGCCTTCGCCACTCCCTGGGTGAGGAGAGGCCCGGGAGCTGCCGAGGGAAGCAGGAGTAGGCGCTGGGGTGGAGCGTTTCGCCCGCTGTTGATATTCCCAAGTTGGGAGGGTGAGGGCGGGTGAACGGCCAGTGTTAGTGGGTCGGCAGAGCAGCTCTCCGCGGGAAGGGGCGCCTAGTAAACCCCCAGGACAGGTGCCCGAGATCCCTTGTATAAGGGAAGGGTAGGAAAAAACACAGGGGTGAGGCGCGCGCACACAGCGCGCAGGGCACCGGTGTTCGTGCTCCAGGTGTTCTGGGATACTGGTATTTGTTTCTTGCAACCTTTTTTGTTAAGATGTCTCAAAGTCATACAAGGGGTTGAAAGCAAGGGGTCGGCATAGCCCTTTGAAGAATGGTTTCCTGGTGAAAATGAAGTCACGTCTGTAAAATAGAAATGGGAGTCTGCAAGTGAAAAATGATATATATTAGCTAGAAATTAATGTTATCAAACCCCATTTCCTTATCAAAGGTTCTGTGCCAATCTTCCTTTAGAGAGTGACCGTATGAACTTAGGAGTTGCTTTATTTAACCAAACCAGTGGTTTAGGTAGGCCAGTGTTCTCCAAGTGACAGCAGCTGTTAGCAGATGTGCAAGAACTATGAAGTGGGCAACTATGAAACAAATTGTTAACAGGAAATTTCTTATTAATCCCCTCAGTTAGAGGTAGGCTTATGTCCTGAAGTATTAAAGGTCTAAATTGCTCTAAAGTTGTGTGGGTTTTTTTGAGTACTTTTAAAAAAATAATCCCTTCTAATTTGACAGTGAATATATTCTCAGTATTTATATAAATATCTAATCCTTTTTGGAATTTTGAACCCTTCTAGGCTGTTGGCCTCTATGTTAGTATTAGTATTTTTAAAAAGACTGCAAATGAATAGAGTTCTTTACAGAACAGAAAAAGATATAGTCTCAAAAGGGCTTATAAATATAAATACTACAAATCATTGTAGATTTCCAGTATATTGTTTTTATAATTTAGCCAAAATAAAACCAAAGTTTAATTTCAAATTAATTTGTAAGTGCTGTATTTCATTTGCAATTCAAATACCTGTTAAACGTAGCAATTATTAAAATTAGGTTGGAATCCATAGTTTTATTACAGCTTTTCTTTAAATGTGCTTTTTATGTAAACCTTTAAAATTTGGATTAATTATGTGACACTTTGCTTTTTAAACCACTTTTGTGTACTTATAGAGCACAAATGAATAACAAATTTGGTGTAGTTGCAACAGATACAGCTGTAGTTATTCTGAGACAGTTATTCGCTGTTGTCATGTGGAAAATGGCGATTCAGAATGTTAGAAGATGTTATAAGAAGCACACAAGTTTTTTAAAAGGGGATAAGGCAATACACTTTTACGCATTAAAATCAGCACATGCTTTGATTCTCTCATACACACACACTTTTGCAGCTGGATTGTATAGTTACCAGTTTTTAGTGTTGCTTGGTTAGTTACAGTGGCCAGCTGAAACTCCACACGAAGGAGGGGAGCTGGGCCTTTGTCGAACGCGTTTGAAGCTTTGATGTTGATTTAGAACGAACCCAAAGTCCCATGGCAATACACCCTTTTCTTTATAGTAAGCAGTTTTTATACAAGTGTTTGGACCTTGCTGTGTTACACCAGAGCTGTTAATTATGAGGTAGTTAAGGTTGCTTTTAATTAGCATTATTTGAGTCGTTACTGGGACTATTTGCTGCTGGGTTTTTTTGGGGGTCTTTTTTTTTCCTTTGGCTTTATTTTTCATTTTGTTTTTAGGGTGTATACCTTTTCTTTAGGGTTGTCAATTTGCCATCTGGGTGATTCTGATAATAAAGTTTGTGCCTCTCGACTCCTTCACTCCCTTCTTGACCATTTAGCCCAGCAGTCTTTTTTTAATTAATTACCATACATTTTTTACTTACATACCAACCAGTAAATAAGGCAATAATTATGGCAATAATTATAGCCACAAAACTTTTATTCATTTAAGAACAATTATTAATACAATTAGCAAAGAATAACTCAGAACAATTTTTTTTTACTAATTTAAAACTAGCAAAACGTAGTATAAAGCAAAATAAACAAAATAGAATACAATTTACTTAAGACAACTTTTCCCCATTAGGGTTTTGACCGACAAGAACATTGCACTCTGTACTCCTGAGGGAATTCTGTGCCTAAAAATTATGCGCACAATATTTTAAAATTCTGCAAATTTTACTTGTCAATAAATAACTGGCTCCAGCATGGCAGTGGGGAGCACAGGCCACTGGCTGCATTGAGGTGGGAGATCACCCTGAAGCCCCCACCTCCTCAGTATAGAGACTTGGCAGTGACGCTGCATCTGACCCTGACACTGCAAGGGCTGAGCCTGACCCAAAAACATTCAGGGGCCCTGCCCCTTTGTGCCAGGTGCACCAGATGTGCATGGGCAGGCTCAGCCCAGCAGGATCCAAGTGTGGAGGGGCTTGTGGGGGGGATCCAGATGTGGGGTGAGAGGTTTCTGTGTGGGGCAATCTGGGTGCGGGCGGCTCAGTGGGAGATCTGAATGCACACAGGCTCGTTGGAGGGTTCCAGGTGCAGGGGCAATGGGAATCTACAGGGGATGCCGGTAAAGGTGTGTGTGTGTGGGGGGGGAAGGGGCTGGGAGGGGAGTTTGGAGGGGTCCGGGTGCTGGGACAGTGGGACTTGATGGGGTGGGGGTCCAGGTGCAGCAGGTTGGGAATGAGTGGGATGGGGGTCTGGATGTGGGGGGTTTGTCGGAGGGGTCCAGTGTAGACGGGTATGGCTTGTCAGAGTGAGGGTTCGATGGGCCTGCTTAACGGGAGAGCCCGAGGGGACGCCGCATGCCAGGCTCCCACTTCCCCCCGCAATTCTGCTGTCCCCTTTTCTTCTCCATCTCCCTCCACTCTCTGCCATATTCCCCTCCCCCTGCCCTATTCCACCCCTCCTCATTTTTCCCACCCCACTCCCCTTACCCAGCCCCACTCACTGTTGCATAGAATAGAAAACAAGAAGGCTCCCAGCACACACGAGGGGAGCATGACTGACACTAGGACCCAGGAGGCAACGTTGAGCTGCAGAGTCAGTAGAGCAGAGACACAGACAGCCTCCTTCTGCTGGGCAGCTCTGCGCTTGCAGAATGGGGGATGGGGAGGCGAGGCATGTAACCCCATGTGCACCCCCATGTTCTGCCTCTGGAGGGGGGAAGCCCCCCCAAAACTGCACCCATAGTCCCTCCCTCCCTAGGGTTACCATATCTCATAAATAAAAAAAGAGGACCCTCCACAGGCCCTGGCCCCGCCCATTTCCCCACCCCCTAACCCCGCCCCAACTCCGCCCCTTCCCCCACCCTAACTCTGCCCCCTCCTCCCTTCCACTCCCAGCCAGGGGGAAAAGGCTGCCCCAGTGCTACCGGCTTCAGGGTTTGCCAGGCAGCCCCCAGAACCTGCGCCCCCAGCCGGCGCTTCCCCAGCGCAGCTGGAGCCCGGGAGGGGATTCGCCCAGCCGGGGGCGCAGGGTCTGGAGGCTGCCCGGCAAACCGTGAAGCCGGTAGCGCTCGGGCTTTGGGCAGCCAGCCGGGCACTTCCCCTCCCAGGCTCCGGCGGCGCAGGGTCCGGAGGCACGGGGGCTGCCCGAAGCCGG